CCCAAATCAATGGAACACAGGTAGTCCCCCGCCCAATCTGAGCCCCAATTTTGTCACCACCAACAATCAGCCGTCGGGTCGCCATCATCCCGCCCCAACCGCTGCCATCCCAGCCGCGACGTGAACCACTATTCAGCCTGAGCCTCTACCTCGTAGGGCTACTCGCTGGAGCCGCCTGCGGAGAAGGACATGGGAGCAGCTATAGTGGACGTCGGATTGCAGACGCGGCAGAGCGCCGCCCTTTCAGATTCGCAGCGGCGGCCGAAAGGCGACGCCGAAGATCGCAACCACGATGAAGACCCGGACGGCGGCACGGCGGAGGCACGCTATGATGCGCGGCTGAGTCACGACGGAATAATCCCCTGAATCGCGGCAGTCTCGAGTGGGCAGCGGCGATGAGCCGGAGGTACGGCTGAAGCCGACGGAGGCACGGCGACAGTCGCCGGCCGGCGGGATGAGCTTCTGTGTGTGTGTGTGTGTGTGTGTGCGTGCATGCTTGTGTGTGTTTGTGTGGTATAAATATTAGGGTTGGTATGCTTGTGTGTGTAATGATCGGTTTGCCCTTATTGAGTAGTCAAATATGTACATTTGACCACAACGTGCATGTAATTTACCATATTGCCATTAATGATTAACCAAATTTTGACTTAATCATAACCATTGATATGATAAATTTAGTGGTACATATTCATTCTTATTTCTTTCACTATGACACTTCACATATAGTATATAGTATATATTCTATTATATACAATATGGTATTATATAGTATATATTATATAGTTTGTAATATACATGTATATACTATGGTAAATTATAATATATATGTATATACTATATATTAAAAATACTATATACTATAAAAAAATCTTGATATTAAAGGATAAGAATAAAATTTGCGCAAAAATAAACGTGATAGCCTAGCGGCCTAATGGTAAGGAGGTGTACCCAGAGATAACGAACTCGCCCACCCGGATTCGAGTCCCGAATCTGGGGTCCTCCTAACATTTAAAGATTTTTGTAAAACGAATTCTGAGAATCCGTTTTACAATTGTAAAACGGATTGCCCGTCACCGCCGCCGTTTGCCGTTGCACCGTCTGTTCCCGTCTATAAGGTACATTTCTTCTATTAATCCTTTGATTTTTTTATTTTTTTAATAATTTCAAATTAGGGCTAAACTTAGGATTGTCAATAATTCTTCGAGTTATGGATTGAGATATGTTGATGGGTTGTTTGATTAAGTTTGTTTGATAATTTGATGGGTTATTTGGAAATTGATTAGGGTTGTGTAGTTTGTTTGGAAATCTATGATTTGAAAGTGTTCGATAAAATGCTTCGAAGGGATTGTTGTACATATTGTTGACATATTGTGAATTTGTGATGATTGTGATGAGGTGAATTTATTTGGGATTTTGTCGGAAGTTGAATTGTTGGAGTCGAATTGTCGATTAGGGATTATTTTCAATTTATTGTGTATATGATTTGTGAATTTGTGAATTTATTGTATNGAGGATTTGGAGGGATGTCGTGACGGCGTCGTTAAAACCCGCCGTTGAGACACTGAGTTTTGGAAATCGTTGGACAAACAACATCCCAGAGTTTGGGAAGTAATCGAGAGGACAGGTTTTGGGACGCTGTTTAGAATGGGCAGAGTACAGACGGACAACAACCTTATTACCTGTCTGGTCGAAAGGTGGCGACCGGAGACGCATACCTTCCACTTTGACTTCGCGGAGGCCACGATCATGCTGCAGGACGTACAAGTCCTATTTGGTCTCCCGATCAATGAAACGCCTTGTTGGGGAGAGACTCAAGATCGCACACCCCAAGAACGGCGAGACGCGTGTATAGATTTGTTAGGGTTCGAGCCCTATGTCCAGGTAAATTTTTTCCTACAATTTTTTTATTTTTTATTTTTATGTTTACTCCATTCATTAATTTTTAATATATATAAACCACTCTCAGAATGCCGACTAACCGGTTCAAGATCCCAAGACTTTGGCCGTTACAGGCCAGTATTTGAGGACCTATGCGTTAGAAGCGGAGTGCAACAGAGAGCTAACCGATGGAGAGCATATCTTCGACTACGAACAGAGGGCGAGGGCCCTTATACTCTGGTGCATCGGTTGCTTCTTCTTCCCCGACCAGAGGGCCAATGGAGTGAACCTGTACTGGTTGCAGCATTTGTACGACATCGATGCGATCAAGACGTACAGCTGGGGTTCGGCGGTCCTAGTCGGAGTGTATAGAGTGCTCTGCACGAGCTCCAAGGCTTGGGAAAAGTGGATCAAGAACTGTGTCCAATTGATTCAGGTAAATTTTTTTGCTTGTTATTTCAAAATTCATTTTTTTATTCTAATTTAGACTAATATCTAATAACAAATGAATATGTCGATATGTGTAGGTTTGGGCATATGAACGTATCCCTCGTATTCGCCTAAGAATGAGGGATACGAACTTTGAGAGAGTCGCTGGTTGTCCCTTAGGTGGAAGGTAATCAAATTTATTTATATTTAATACTTAGATTATTTCCATTATCAAATTTTGTGATTACAAAGTATTTGTTTTTACTGTGACTTTTAAGGTGGGTGGAAAAGAGGAACATGACACACCTGGGCAAGGGAACAGCCACCACCTGGGATCAATTGACAGGACTGACAGAGACGGATGTAAGATTATTATTAGTCCTATTGATTATTATTCTTATTTGTTGTTTGTTTTAATATTTTTATATCTTAATTCCTAATTAATTTGTTTTATATTTTTGTTTTTACAGTTCGATTGGCTGCCCTATCAGTGGCACCTGCAAGGGAATGCTCTCCCGGCCCAGTGTACACAAGGTTCACACCTCTGGATGTATAGGGGACAGATCTTCAACTGGAACGTCCGTGAACTCCACCTGCCTGATAGGGTCCTCGGTCAGTTCGGGTGTCGGTAGTCCACCCCCGAACCTCCGATCATTACAACTGAGGCCAAATGGGAGAGACACCACCGAGGCCAGGGAATGACTGGGAGGGCAGTTTTTGATTGGGTCGCCTTTCACGGAGAGCTTGGGAACGCTTGGGTCGAATATAGAGACGAAAATATCGTCCCAGTCATCTCTATGGAGCCATTCATTGAGCCTGAAGCGGGTTACCTTGATTGGTTTCACAATATCACTGTGAGACTACTCGGTGACCCTGCCAAGTACGCGGTGGCCCAACCGGACAGAGGCTTTCAGCCACTTGCCGAGCAGGGGAAGTGCGATGTAAGTGTTCATAATTTGTGTTTTTTTTTCTCTTATTATTATTATTTTTTTTTTGTTTGTGTTTCATTCTAGTTACTTTGAATTTAATTTTCAGGCTAGCGCCATAGAGGGAGCTTATCACACGTTATCTAACGTGGACCACCTATATCATACACTCCATCCAGATATGTTGGCGGTATTCTAACATGCCAATAGCCTTCTATACAGTTCTCTGACTGTCGGAGGCGGAGAGGTCGCACAAGGGACGTCGTCGAGCCAAGTTCTATCGCAGGAGAGCTACGTCCAATCCCAGAGGACGCAGTCACACCAGGCGAGGCATCAACCTGCTGCGAACATTGGTGTAGATAGAAGCCGACGTGACCGCCAACCCGCTGCCAACACCGGGCCTCGGAAAGAAGAAGAAGGTGAAAATTTTTTACTTAACAAAAAAATAATTTTATTTATTTTTGTGATTTTTGTCAAGTCGAATTTCTGATTTCTTAAAAAAATGAATTATTCAGGTGAAGAAGAAGAAGAAGAACATGTCACACCCACAACATCGTCTTCTTCAAGACGACCACCACGTCGGATCAGCCAAAGACAGCGCAATCCTACGAATCGATACACTCCTAATTAGTTTGTGTTGTATTCGGGGAATTTTATGAACATATATGTTTTTTTTTTGTTGGATTATGTGTAATGATATTTGGACATCTCTATATTTTGAATAATTTATTGTGGTTGATTTTTCTTTCTTTGAATAATGGATTTATATGAGCTTGTGGAATTAATATTTAGTTGTTGAATCGATCTCGATTAACAGATGTGTTTTTTTTATTTTTTATGCATAGGTACTATTTTTGCATAGTACAATGTATTTTCATAATACGTTTTATTTTTTTGATTTTTAAAAGACGTATTTCAGAAATACGTTTTAATTTGGGGCAAAAATTAGGGCAAAATCAATTTGTGGCAAAAATTAGAGCAAAATCAATTTGGGGACAAAATTAAAGAACAAAACGTATTTTTGAAACACGTTTTATTTTTTGAAAAGCTATTTTCTGCAAAAAAATTATTTTTACGAATTGTAAAATTAATTTTATTTATAAAACGTATTTCAAGAATCCGTTTTATAATTAAAACATAATTGAAAAATTAATTTTAATTATAAAACGTATTTCAATAATACGTTTTTTTTACTTTAAAACGTATTTTAGTTTTACGTTTTCTTTTATTTTAAATAACTTAATTACGTTAATTACGTTAATTAATTTATTTAACATAAACCGTATTCTATAAATACGTTTTACAAACGTTTTTCAAAGAAAAACGTATTTGTTGATACCAAATTTTGGCCTAGCCTATTATAATATTACACGTGAATATGTTTTATATTAATTATTTTATTTTTTGGGCCTTAAATAATACCGCTTGTGATAATATCGGGCCCATTAAACATATATATAAATACCCCGATGATGGACATCATCGAGATAGGTCTGAGGGGGCGATTATAATTTTTTCTCTCTCATTTGTTAGGAGGCACCGCAGCACGGCCTCTATTCCCTTTCTCCTTCTTAATCTTTTTATTTGATTTCTTCAACAAGAGGAAGAAGGGGAAAATACAGAAAAATCATCACGAAATATACAGAAAAATCTTCAGAAAATCACCGAAAAATAAAATCCAAAAAATACACAATAAATTCCTATGAATTCCCATGTTGATCAATTTTCGAGCATCAACAGTATTCATAGAATACATCCTTTTTATTTTGANACAGGTCTCAGAAAGAAGAACCTCACCAAAGATTCCTTGTAAACATGCCATTTTTAAGAATCCACAATAAGCAAAAAATGTGGCAACACGTTGCCTGAATGGAAAAAAAAAAACCAATTGATTTCCCTTATTTGGAAATCATAATCTCCCAACAATCCAGAATATAGGAATCTATTCTTATGCAACACAACACAACACATAAACACACGTGACAAACCCAAATCATCTATCTACAATCAAACCAAGACAAACGTTAGAGCAGAACAAATACACCAAGAAAAGAAACAGGGGACATTTCATTTTAATCTATTCAGGGTTGTACTTGAGAGACTCCTTCCATATTAGCTCCTTTATGTCCTCTTCACTTAATGATGACTGTTCAAAATCGAACACAAATGGAGATGGACAAGTGGGCTCCTCATTGATTTCGTGGAGACTCAACAAAAACGGATGACTCAGTGCTTCCTCAACTGCACACATTGAAAACCACTAATTAGTAACGGGATGAATGAATGAATGAATGTATAAAATACCTCAAAGTATCAATTAACAGCAGAAAGCATACCAGCAATACGTTTGGCCGGGTCAAAGACGAGCATTCTCTCAGCAAGATCAACTGCAACAGAGGATAATTCCGGGAACTTTTGAGAAAGGGGCAATTTGGGCACTTGGGGAAGCTGCTTGACATACTTCCGCGCATTTTCACTTCTTAAAAACCCCAGATCAGAATCTTCAGGGGAACCTAATAGCTGCTCCACATATTTATTCAAATTTTTAATAGAGTGCCATCAGCATCACATCATTATGGGATTTTTCATTTTTACTTTCGGGGGGTTGGGGTTGGGGCTGGGGGGGAGAGCTTAAACATTTTAATGTACATTTATTTTGAAACATAACTTGAAGTGATTGATTTACGTTTTTCTTTTAGCAATTTGCAAACTCTCCCAGTGTATAATTATTAACTACTCTTTCGCAGCAATAAGTCACTTTCACCAAAAGCAAAATTTTTTGCAAACACTCCTGATCTCCCTATATTTGTCGACAAGAAATTTTTAATTCGTCATGTTAACAGCAAGAATGACATCTTGAATGGACAAAAAACTTATATCTTGTCCTTTAAAATTCCATCAACAAGGCATCTGCCTGATTTAGTAAGAGAGAGAGAGAGAGAGAGTACCTCATTTATTAGCCCCAATTGTTGAACATAGTCTTTACCAGGGAAAAGAGGCTCTCTTTTAAGTATTTCCATCAATATACAACCAACTGACCACATATCAATCGCAGCAGTATACTCTGAACAGTTGAGCAATAACTCAGGAGCTCGATACCATCGAGTTACGACATACTCAGTCATATAATCTATCTCCGAGTTGGTTCTTGCAAGGCCAAAGTCACAAATCTTCAGATCACAATTAGCATTCAGAAGTAAATTACTGGGCTTTAGATCTCGGTGCAGAACACAGGCCGAATGTATGTATTTTAGTCCCCTTAGAAGCTGATATAGGAAATACTGTAAAGGAAAAGACGTTACAACCTGGTAAACATTTAAGTCATAAAGCTAATAAATGACATGAAACAATTTTAAGGTACCCAATTCGGAGAACCACAATACGTTTTCAAAAAGGGGTTGTTCGGTGGAACTTATTCATGACATTAGTCATTAAGAATTCTAAGTTATAAACAGCAAAGGCAACAGTAATATTTTGATGCACCAAACGATGTGGCATGTGGTTTCTAAAACAAATAACATAACGCTTATTGGATCAGTGGTACCTATGATGAGTTCGCTTTGGCGATTGCATATGAAAATTCATTAGGACCAAAAGCAACA